CATAGTTGAATCTTAAAATAAATGAATAAATAAATAACAATAATAATTAAAAAAAAAACCTCAGAATGAAAAGGACTTTTAATTGATCCTCATTGTAGAGGTGGATCTAAAATTTTTAAAAATTTGTTAAAGCTATTTGATTTTGCAAAAAAAATCAACAAATATAGATACTTAAATCAGACGCAGAAAAAGCGAGTGCATTCAGTATGAGTAGAGGTATTGAATTCCGTCACAAAACAAATCGGACAAATTATATGAAAAACCAAGTAGAAGAAGAAGAATAAATCATCAGAAACTTGGATCAATGCATCAGAGCAGACACCTTGGGTGTCTCAGACGACCGTCGTGAGAATTATTAATCCAATCTCATCACCTGATTCTGCTTCTGCTTCTGCTTCTACTCTTTTCTACGAGAAATTAACAAACGCAGATGAAATAAATTTTGAAAAAATTTAAAGAGAAATGACGCCGACAATCGACCGGAGATTTCCAGCGAAAGACAAAGTAAAAGCCTTGGTGCTTGAACGGCCATTTAAAGCGGTGATGGAGTTAGGTTTTTAGGGTTTTCACTTTTCAATCAATACCGTAATGACTATTTTATCCCTACATATGGACCAGGCCTGGCATTGTCCCAGTTCGCCCGATAGGAAGTAAAGCAATTAATTTCAATGGGCTAGGTTTATCACAAGAATGGTATGGGCCAACGGGGGTCCATTAAGCAGATAGATCTGGCCTTCGATTAGGCCTTTCCGCCCTCAGTTTTATCAGTCGACTGCTGGCGATTAATCCTAACACGTCGGCGAAAAATCATCGGGTTTGGCAACCGTCCGGCTACTTCGAAGCCTGTCTGCCTGAAGCTAAGAAGTCATGTGATCTGATTTCCCATGGTACGCTTCACCTCAGCTCCATCACCCCCTCAATCACTTTCCCGACGGAATCAAGTTATCTCTTCCTCTAACTGATTGATTCTTGTCTGAGATGGTTTGAAAATTTTTGGTACTAGATCAATGTGTTTTAGTTCCTACTTTACTTCCTACCCTTAGTGCGCTGCATCTATGTAATTCGATTGTTTCAAGTAAATCGTCTTCTTCTGCTTAACTCATATCTTTCTAAGGATGGCAACGGGTCCCCACGGAGGCGAGGACCCCTTTCCCATCCCATCCCCGTCATGGCAGGTCAGGGATTCCCGCGGGAAATTTTGACGGAGGGTCAAAAATTGCCTCCATCCCCATCCCCGCGGGGAATAATAGGTCCCCGCAGGTATTCGGAGTCCCCACCATTCACTGCTTGTTAATCAAATATCAAAAGAAAATAGCAATTTTACAGAATCCTATATAGCAAACAAAGATGATCAAGATCACTCTTTTAAAACAAGCTGGAGGTGAGCGGTGGTGAGTGAGGAGCGTTGCTGACTTGCAGTGATGGGTTGACAACACGGTGCCACGGTGAGAGGCGGGATGAGATGACCCAGCGGCAACCTTGGAGCTCAGCTGGAGGTGAGCGGCGAGCGTTGCAGGGCAGCAAGGGCCAGGGGTTGTAGTGACGGCGAGGTTGAGAACTGAAGGGAATCACTATGAAGGTCTGTGGAGATGAGGGCAGAGTTTGAGCAAGAGTGTGGCAAAGGACTAGATGAGAGGAAACTCAGAGACTAGCTGGAGAGACCGACCGAGAGATGGCATGGTGAGTTGGTGAGAGGTTGAGAGCTGAAGGAAAGCACCGATTCATAGTGATCCGTGGAGATAAGGGCAGAGTTTCAGCAAAAGTGTGGTAGGGGACTAGAGGAAAGGAGACTCAGAGACTGACTGGAGAGGAGAGACCGACGCTGACCGAGAGAGGAATGAGGAATCCCAATTCCCAAATTTGCAATTTGCAATTGCAAGAAGTGGCAAGCAAAAGAGAGATTGAGTGAAATGTCCTCTTGCTAGGGTGATATGTAAATCGGGCCTATAAATTGGGCTGTAAATTGGGGCTGGGCAATTAGGTTTAGGATTATTAGATTCACAAAAAAAATTGGGTTGGGTTGAGAATTGGGTTGGGTTGAGAATTGGGTTGGGTTGAGAATTGGGTTTGAAAAAATTGATAAAAGAATGGGTTGTGAAATTTAAGTTATGTTGGTATCAGGTTAACTAATTAAATTGGATAAATAAAAATTAATTGCTAATATATGTACAAAAAATATATATAAACAAATTTATTTTTTATTTTATTTTATATGAATTCCCACGGTTCCCCACGGAGTGGAGAAAATTCCCCACGAAATTTCACGGGTAAAAAATTACCTCCATCCCCATCTCACAGGTAAGAATATTCTAAGAATCTCCATTCTCATGATAGGTATCTCCGTGAAGCTCTACAGGTCGCGGAGAAAATTGCCATCCTTATATCTCTCTGATGCAGGGAATTGAAATGCAGATTAGTTCTGGTGCCGATTGGTATATAT